GCAGATGAACGTTGCGTTCAGCGAGCACAAGCAGCTGCTCAATACCTATGACAAAACGCCCGAGCGGCTCGCGGCCCTCGCCGCCGGCAGCGTCGTGCACTCCGGCTTTAACTTGCGCAAAGTGCTCGAGGAATTCAACAGCATGCTGCAGCCGGAAACTCAGTTGCTGCTACCGCAGTACCCGGAGTCTGCGGCTGCACAGCTGCAAGACGACGTTCCACCAGTCGACTTGGCGCGGCTGAACTTTCTGGGCAATCTGCGCATCGAAAGCTTTTTGTTCGTCCGTTCGCAGTTCATGGCGGTCGAACCCAAGGCAAATTTATCTAAAATCAACGAGCACCTCTCGAAGAGCGTGCAAACGCTGCTTAACGCTTTCATGAAGGAGGTCGAGGCGCCGTCTACTAAAAATATTCGCGCATACGAGTTGCTGCTGAAGCTGTGCACGTTGACGCCCAAACAAAGCGAGACCGCTGCGCGGCTGCAGGTCTTTTTCTTCACGCCGCTTCTTCTGCACTTCTGCGCGCAGCCGTTGTTGAACACGCTGCCGCTCGACAAAACTCCGTTCTACCCCTCGTTCCTCTCGACGCAAGCTTTTTGCAAGCAGGACGCCAACGCCGGCAACATCAAAAGCTGCTCGTTGCGCGGCTACAACAAGTTCATGAAATCGTTTAGCTGGGTACCGATTACGAGTGATGCGCAGAGCGCGTCACTCGACGAACACGCGCAGCTCGCCGCGAAGGTCACGTATGACCTGAACGACTCCTTCCTAAACAGCGAAGCGCGCATCAAGCGAGTTCTCGAGAAGTTCTCCAGCATTTGGTGGGGCGGCCTGTACCTACCGAGCCATCCGTTCCAGTTCGCAATCGGGATTAAGTGCCCGATTCAGGGCATCGCGAATCTGCAGCAAATCGTGCTGTCCACTTTCACTGCGCAGCCAAACTTGTGGCAAAGCAACGCAGTCTCCTTCGTCTTCAACAATGTCACTGGCTTCACGTACCAGTCCATCGGCCCCAGCGCGGAGCACGTGATCACGTGCCTCAACGCGGCCAAGCACTTCGAAAACCACTGCGACGAGTGTCGTGCGCTGCTACTCAGCGCCGAGCCAGATTTGCGTTTTCAGCGCGAAGCAATTGTGCCCTACGACGCCTTCCGCTGCAACAAGCCACTCACTGCAGAGGGCAACGAACTCAAAACGCTCGAGTTCTTCTTGCCGCTGCGCTTGCCCGCGCTGCTGCTCTCTACCAGCGCCAAGTCGCTGTACTCGCTCTTCATGTGTCAGAAGCGCGATTACGACCCTGCGACGGACGCGGCCACCGAGTTTCCTTTAGACCAGAGTTCGCACTTCTTCGACTGCGACGGCACGAACTGCAAACAACCAGACCTGTGCTACAAGAGCCTCGCCAAGTCTCTTTGGTTCAATGCACAACTTGCTACACCGCTCCGCAAGCTTTTCCCCAACCTCGCCTGCAAACTCGTCGTGCACCCCGACGTGCTCTACGCGCAGAACAAAGCCTTCGTTCCGCTCACAGCGACTGTGCTCGTTTACCGCAGCGACACTACCGCGCCCCCCGCGGTCGCCAACTCGCAATACCGCGGCTTCAGCTACAGCCGCGAATTCACACCGCAGCTGCTGCAGCGCCGCAACGGACTCGCACAAGCGCTCGACGAAGTCAACGACAAGGTACGTAACTCGCAGCGGCTGCCGCTCAGCTTCTACACCAAAGCTGAACCGCCCGCCTTCTCTAGCGAGGAAGTGGTCGTCTGTAACGAGATCCGCTGCAATTGCGGCAAGCAGCTGTTCAACATTGCGCTGCCTGACGCGTTCGTGGAGATCCAACGCTGATTGTTTTAACATGCAAGTCGCATACCTATGCTTTCGCACTGCGCCGCTCAAGCAGCCTGCGCTGCGCACTCTCACTGCGCTTCCACTCCCACTCTCCGCGCAAGGCCTTCCTTCGTAGCTACACAGCGTATGCACATACATCACAACCGCGATTTTCCGACGCAACAAATTGCTGTGAACATGAGTTCTCTTTAGCCGGATCTGCTGCTTCGCTGTCTAGCAAGAAGCGGCTGTCTGCGGCTTAACGAGCGACCGCTTAGAAACGCTCGTGACACAACACAAAATGCGCTGACAGTCATGCGCAGAAGCAGAAGCAGCTGGAGCAAGTCAACAGACGCTCAGCTAGAGCAGCTAAACCGGTTAGTATCGGTCCGTGCGAAGCCCAAGCTCAAAGCAGCCTCATGTGCGGCGCAAACGTCAATCAAACGATTTTCGCAGCAGCAGCGCGCCGCACGCGCTGAACTGCAAGGCGCTCGACACTAACCGTAGGTCGCCAGCGTCTAGTCGAGCGCAGCAAACAGCTTGCTGATAGTAAACGTGAACACTACGCGCCACACGGTTCAAATGCAAAGAGCTCATTCCAGTTAGTATGGATTAACGTTAAAAGTTAATCCGCATACGTTCGGCAGCATCGATTGTGACGTAGGCAAGCTCGCTTGCCGCACAGAGCTGACCTGCCGCACACACATTTGCTATCGGAAGACTACTGAGCGAGCAGGCTACTCGCTATCATTTTCAGCTGCCAGAGCAGCAGCGACAGGAACAAGCGCTGATTACTGCGCTCAACGCTACGCGCGGAGAGCGAATCTGCGTCCATATCGACGAACGCACGCGACACTTCACGTTGCTTTTCAGCCAGGAGATTCGCGTAGCCGGACCGCAGCCGAATCGGGCTCATTTGCTCTACCAAGTCGATGCGGTTTAAAATCGGCTCAAGCAGCTCTCGCTGCTGCTCATCGATCCTGACCCGGTACGATCGCGTGGGCGCCCAGAACACCTTCACATCGACGTCCACGAACGTCGCAATTGGAGCAGCACCTTCGCAAAACCGCTTCACAGCGGCTAGCACGGGCACGCGCTCCACGCGCATTGTGATGTACGACTCAGTCGTGGCGACAACGGCGAAGCTCAGCGGACAGAACAGAAACACGAAGCTGTTCCTGCGCGACTCCAAAGCCGGGGGCAGTTGGGCACCCTCCAGTTTACAATAGCGCACCAGCAAAAACTCGTCGGACGCGACAAACCTCGGGCACAACGGTGGAAGGCTCTCCTCTCGACTGAACAGCAGCACCGCGCCGCCGTGCCACTGCGCCTCGAAGCCGAGCTCGCGCGCAAGGCTCGCGGCAAACTGTTGAAAGGCGTTGTAGTCGAAGCGTTCGCGAGGCTTATTGCGCAGCATGGCTTGCACAAAGTATTGCTGCAGCAGCATAAAGAGCGCCGCATCAAAGCTCACGTTCCTCAAGTAGCTGAGCGAGCGATCAATCTGAGCCGCGAACGCCGCCTGAGAGGCTGCGTCGTCGGATGACGCTGCATTCGCAAAATCTTCTCTAGCTGCGACATCCGCGGAGCGTGCGCTGTCGGCTGTGTTCACTCCGTCGGAAAAACCAGCATGCTCTACTTCGTCGTAGGATAGAGCCGCAGCAAAGCTGGCGAGCTCGAGACGAAAAGCTAGCTCGTAGCGGCGCTTGGCGAAGTGGTCGAGATCGGGGTCAACGAACACGAAGTAGTTTAGGCAAAAAGGCGAATTCGTGACCCGGTACAGTTCGTCGAGTTCTGCGTTCTTCAGGCCTTGACGTGTAAAGTACTCGTACATCTCAGGCGACAGACGGTTCTGCTCGTGCACAGAGCTGAACAACAACTTGCACACAACGCTGCGGCCCACCGGCGCCGAACTGACCTGCGGAAAGCGTTGAAACCACACCGGGATTTTCTCGGCGATCACATCCGCTGCCTGCGCCTCGCCCCGCGACGGCTCGCTGAACGCGTAACCGCTCTCCAGCGCAAGTTTGCGCAAATGCAAGTGCAGCTCGCGGCCCTGCTCGCGCGTATCCGAAAGATCGCGCAGCGCATCTGGCAAGCTTAGCAGCTCGACTGTGGCGCTCATCATGTACGGATGTTTTGCGTTGCTTTTGTAGTGCAGCTGCGATGCGTTCTCGCTGACCACGTTCCAGGACTTGCCCAGGTGCAGCAACGTTGCAACAAAGAATTCGTATTTTTGCAGAGATGCCTCGAACTCAGCTGCGCGCGTGCTCAGACCATCGCGCAAGCCTTGCAAGAACTGCTTTCGGCAGCGCATGGCTTTGCGAATTTCCTGCAACTCAACAACTTGAGAAACTTTGTTAGCGCTTTTGATCAGCGCGAAGCGCCGCGCCTGCAGCTCAGTCGGGGGAGTCACACCGGGAATCTCGCGCGGCGGCTCAAAGAGTCCTTGCACAATGTAGTTCAGCATGTTCAGCGTCTGCATCGCCTTCGCCTTTTTCTGCGAGCAATCCTCCACGATGCTGGCGTTGCGCACTTCGGTGTTCAAAAACTTGTTTAGCTGCAACGTCTGACGCTGCAACGTCGCTAAGTAGAGCTCGGTCTCCTTGCTGTAAAAATCGCGAAAGGCAGGGCGCGCGTCGCCGCCCGAGCGGCCCATGCACTGCGCCTCAAGCTCCTCCAGTTCCAGATCGGCCCGCGTCAGCGGGTCGAGTTCTTCAGCGCCACGTAGTGCACCGCTCTCACCCAGGGCGTGCGTCTGCCCGAGCTCTGGTTGCGAAAACGGGTCTTCGTACTTTTCATAACACGGTGCTGTGTTTCCTGCTCGCAGCGCACAGTGACTTACGCAAAATCTTCTGCAGTGCAAAGGGCTCGCGTGCACTGCCGCGGCAGTGAGAGGGCAGCAGACTCACAGAAATGTCTAGGGAGTCCGAGGGCACCACGCTGACGCTGCCCTCGCGTGAACTGTCAGACGACGGCGAATTCGCCGCGTCGCGCACTAAACCGGTGCACATTCGATGATGCGCGGAGCGCGAGAATCTCTGAAAAAAAGCAAACAGAAATAGGGCAAAAAGTGCAGAAGTGCACGGGCGAGCGGCTGCAACACTGCAGAAATGCCAAGAGAAACACGCGGAGTTTTTACGCGCGTCGCGCGCCACGCAATAAATCACACGAAAAAATGCTATTTTCGATTACTTTGGAAAATCGTTATTTACGGTAATTGCGAACCTGATTGCTTCGCGCTAATTTCTGTTTTGTTCTTATAATAATACTAATTCTTCTTCAATAGTTTTTATTCGCGTCTGTGCCGGTCGAACGAGGGGGGCTGCGTACAAAACGCGTCGCGAGCCACTGACACTAGTCTCAGATGTCTCGGAGAGCGCGGCAGTGGTGCAACATCTGCCGCGACGTGGACGCAAACGTGCGATGTAAGTTTCGCAGAGAGGCACGCCTCTCACGCTCGGCACCACCTTGCAGGCACGGAAAAGGGTTGTTTCCGTCGGTTTCACGACTGGTGTCTCACAGAGACGGACGCGTGGGGTTCTGATCGCGAGAACTTCGTCTGCCAGGACTGTCAGGCGAAGCGGCTGAACGAGATCGATTGCTACATCTGCGGAAAAAAGGTCGTGCAGCCGCCTCCGGGCTTCGACTCGGACGACGAGATCTCAGTTTCTCCCAATATGATGGAGGAAGCGCAGGGACTGTTTTGCGACGGATGCACGCACACCGCGCACATCAGTTGCTTAGGGCTTTCGAAGTCCCCGGTGACGCACGAGAACGACTTTTGGTACTGCACGGAGTGTGACCCGCACAGTGAAGCGGCCAACAGTCTGAACTTGCACAACCTGAGCAAGCGCGTCGACGACCAGCCGCGCACAAAGCCCGACTCGTCTAACAGGATCGGCGGGAACGTAGACATTTGCTACGTCTGTCAAAAAGGCGGTCGACTGCTGGGCTGCGACTACTGCGAGCAAAGCTACCATCCGCGCTGCATTGATGCAGACTTTCTCGAGTTCGAGGCGGAGCGCGGCGCCTGGCGCTGCCCGATCTGCCGCGGCGAAGATCCCTTGAAAAGCTTCGGTAACCGGCGGCTGAGCCGCACAGCTATGATGCGTTTGATGAACACCATGCAGCAATGCATTCGCGCGCAGTACAAAATTTCGAAAGCGAACCGCGACGTTTTCCTTTGGTCGAACATCAAGCTGCTGCGGCCGTTCTTGGTCGACCACGCATACAACCGACTGGTGAAGAAGTACGGTGCCGGCCGCAAAAAGTTCGACACGCAGCAGTCAGGGAGCGAGACCGAGGAAGACGACGTGGAGCGCGGCGTGCGCGCGCCAAACCTCAGCAAGTCGCAACAGAAGCGTTTCGAGCGCTGGTACGAGAAGGCTGTCAAGGCCGGCAAGGGCCACATCTTACAGGACGACGTGCGGCTGAAGGACTACCAGAAGGCCGGCGTCGGCTGGCTGCTCGAGTGTTTTCACCGGCGCTCGGGCGCGATCCTCGCGGACGAGATGGGGCTCGGCAAAACCGTGCAGACGCTCGCGTTCCTGTCCGCGCTGAAGGTTATGGGTATTACGGGTCCACACTTGATCGTCGTGCCGCTGTGCACGGTTGGCAACTGGGCGCGCGAGATCCGCCGCTTCGTGCCGCACTTGAAGTTTGTCAAAGTTTGCGGCAGCCGATTCGAGCGCGACCACATCATGAACAGCCAAGTGACTGCGCAAGGTCTGCACGATCTGTACATCACGACCTACGAAACTGCTGTTACCGAAGAGTCGTTTTTCTGCGACACGTTCGACTGGCAGTGCATAATTCTCGACGAGGCGCACCGAATCAAAAACGAGAGCGGCCGAATCCGCAACTCGCTGAACCGCGTCGGCGCGAACATGCGCGTGCTGCTTACTGGCACGCCGCTGCAGAACAACGTCAAGGAGCTATTTACGCTTCTCAACTACCTCTTTCCCGATACGCTCAAAGACAGCGACGAGTTCGAAAGACTCATGAGCAGGCACCCGACCACCGGAAAGGAGCTCGCTAAAAGCGACGTCGACAACCTCGACATCCACGCCGACATTGTCGACGCACTCTCGCAGCTGCTCAACGAGCTGATGTTGCGGCGCACCAAAGACTTGGTCGTCAACTTGCCGCCCAAAATCGAGCACAACATTTGGGTGCCGCTCTCGCAGCACGGCGCAATTTGGTACAAGAAGCTGCTCGACGTCAGCGAAGCCGCGATCCAGGCCAACTTCGTTCGCAAAATTTTGGGCGCCGTCATCAAGATGCGCATCTGCGTCTGCCACCCTTGCTGTCTCATCAAGTTCGACACGCAGCTCAAAAAATTCCAAGAAGCTTTCGCCGCTACGGAGCATGAGAGCAATCTCGTGCGCGACGCCAAAGAGCTCGCTGAGCTCAGCAACGAAGAGCACATCAAGGCCAGCAACAAACTGGTCGTGCTCGACAAGCTGCTTACGCAGCTGCACCTGCTCAACTGCGAGTTCAGCTCCGAGTACCGCGAGATGTACTTGCAGAACATTCAAAACCACCTGATCGAAACGGTTCCCAACCCCGCGCTCGCGGTCATCGCGCCGCAGCGCAAAAAGAACGACAAGCCAAGCCAGGCAGCGAACGACGATGCGCTACACTCTCCGTCGGCCCGCGACCGCTCCGGCAGTCAAGATGCCACCTTGCAGGAAGCATCACAAGAAGCCGAGCTGACAAACGCCACGCAAGACGCTACGCAAGATGCCACGCAAATTTCAACGCACAAAACTTTTCAGAGCGCAGCACCGAGCGCGGTAGATTGCATTTCGGGAAGTGAAGCGCCGGGCGACACCGCACGTTTGGCTGCGGACGCGTCTGCGGACGCTGCCTTGGGTAGTTCGTCGCAAGCCAACGAGTTCTCGCAGCAGAACAGTGAGGCGCATAGTGTTGAAGAGCAACCTGCGGACGGCAGAAGCCAGTGCAGCGCTTCCACGGGTGGTGCGAAGAAGCCGAGCGCACGCCAACGTGCGGAGCGCGCTCGCCGTGAGCGAATTGCACTCGCGGCGCAGCTGCAGAAGGACTACGATCGCGCGCTGCACGATCAAGCCGAGAATTGCTTGAAACAACTTGAGCAGAAAAAGTGCGACGTTCCCTGGCTCGTCGAAAGCATGTACCCTGCTGACGTTAGCGAGTCCAACACGAAAGAAGTCGCACGTATTGGAGACGACACCGAAGCCGAGAGCTCTTCGAACGAGTCCGAAGCGCAACGCTCCGACAACGCGCACTCTTCCGTCGGCAGCGACTCAGAAGCCGTCGGGGACGACGCGAAGTCTTCGCAAAAACCATGCCAGCCGATCATCCACAAAGTCCTAATTTTCACGCAGTTTCAGTTAGTTTTAGACGAGTTGGAGCGCTACTGCAAACATAGAGGCTTTAGGTATCTGCGACTGGACGGCGGCACCAACAAGATGATTCGAGAGCTAGACATTCGGGAGTTCAACAACCCAGACTCCACGCACCTGCTCTATTTGATCTGCACGCGCGCGGGCGGAGTCGGCATCAACCTATACACTGCAAACCACGTAGTGCTCTTTGACGAAGACTGGAACCCGTTCATGGACCTGCAAGCTATTGACCGCGCGCACCGCATCGGCCAGAAACGCAGCGTCCACGTCTGGAAACTCATCACTGAGTGGACCATCGAGGAGCGCATGGCGTT